CCTGCTGACACCCCCCCAGGCCTCAGCAAGGTTTGGGAGCTAGGGTCGGGCTGGGATCACGGCTGGAAATCCATGTAGGATCACCGCAAACCACAGGCCTCTGCCAGCAGGAAGAGGGCTAGGAAGAGCCCTGCCCGCGCCGAAGCACGTGCCGGCCTGGCAGCTGACGAGCCCTCGAGCATGAATAAGGAATAGGCGCGGGCTGGGATCCTGGGGGGAAATCCTTTTCAGGTCGCACCAGCCGCGCAGCTCTGCCCCTGGGGGACTCCCCCCGAGGAGGCTAGGCGAGTCCTGCCCACCCCAAAACTTGGTTTGTGAATGCCAAGCCATGAGCTCCCAGGCCTTACTTCACATTTTTGCCCCTATCTCTTGATTTCCAGCCAGAAAAAAATGTTGCAATTATACCTGGGTAGTGAGGAATTCAGCTTCTAAAAGCAATCTCGGAGGCTGATTAGGTGTGCCTGACCACTTAGGAGTTCAAATGTAGTCACATGACTCCAAGACTTCCCCTAGCACATGACTGGGGGACAGCGGGGAGAGGAGCAACTTATTTTTCTATGGTCTCCATTGCTAGTGGTCTGTCTTGCTGCTATGAGCTTTGCAGTCCTGCTTATTTGGTGCTGAACATTGGTTTGTGACTCTCTATTAATTTCTAGCATAAAAAGGTGACAGAGATGCCTGGGGAAGATGTAAGTGGAAGCGCTGATTCTAAGGAGGATCTATTCAGTGCTTTTCTGCATGAATTGCAATGGTTAGAGAAAGAAGGCTTCCAAAAGGAGGAGTCAGTTTGGGGCTGCATTGTTGGTAGGCTTCATAGAAATACATCAAAGCCAATGTGGGGACAGTCCGTGCTGTTTTTCATGCACAATTCTGAACAACACTCTCATACCAATTTCCCATTCTATGGGGTCACTTAAATAGCCAAACTCTTCGTCCATCCATTGTTGTTTCAAGCCTAGAGTCTTCGGAACATGAAGATGAATTTCTTGCACAGTTTATATTAGCTTTTGGACCCCCACGTCCGTTAGAACCTTTGGTTGACAATCATCTATGAGCCCAGATTCAGTTCACCAATTTTCTGAGGCGTGCAAATTATTTGTCTGCTGGTCATTGCCAAATGAGGTATGGCTCCATGGACCACCACACTGCCTTTGATGGTCATCAGAATTAATGGTAAGTTCATATCCCAGTCGTTTCCACTTGTCTGTACTACTTTGCGTATAGCTGTTTTCAGTGTTTTGTTAGACCTCTCTACTTGTCCAGATGACCTGCTATATGGAGATGTTGCTTAATTCTAAATGCCAAGCATATTTCTTTTGTGATTTGTCCAACAAAATGAGGACCCTGATCTGAGTTAATACAATGAGGAGTTCCCCATCTGGAGAATACTACCTCGATTAGTATCCTCTCTGTGGTCTTGGCAGTATTATTCCTGGTGGGAAAGGCTTCGATCCATTTTGTAAATGAATCTACTATAACTAAACAATAAAGATTGCCTCTTTCTGTCTTTGGCAATACCCCAATAAAGTCTATTTGAAGATGGGTCCATTGTTCCTCAACATGTTGGTGTCTTAAAGGTCCTTTAACCACCTTACCGCCTGCATTGTTAGCAGCACATGGCAAACAATTGTTAATATAGTTTTCAACATCATTGTAAATGCATGGCCACTGACCAGTTGATTTTAGTCAGGTGACTGTTTTATCAATCCCAAAATTCATAGATTCATAGACATTAGGGCTGGAAGGGACCTTGGAAGATCATCAAGTCCATCCCCTTGCCCAAAGGGCAGGAAGTCAGCAGGGATCATAGGATCCCAGCAAGATAGACATCCAAATGTCTCTTGAAAGTGTTCAAAGTAGGTGCTTGAACCACCTCCAGCAGCAGTCTATTCCAAACCTTGGGGGCTTGGACAGTAATGAAGTACTTCCTTATGTCCAGCCTGAAACGGTCACAGAGGAGTTTGTGACCGTTCGATCTTGTCATCCCTTGGGGCGCTCTGGTGAACAGATGTTCCCCCAGATCCTGATGAGCACCCCTGATAAACTTATAGGTAGCCACCAGATCACCCTGAGCCTGCGCTTTTCCAGGCTGAAGAGTCCCATAGCTCTCAGCCTGTCATCTTAAGGTCTGTTTTCCTGCCCTCTGATCATGCGCGTGGCTCTTCTCTGGACTCTCTCAAGCTTTTCCACATCCTTTTTGAATTGTGAAGCCTAAAACTGGATGCAGTACTCCAGCTGCAGCCTCACCAGGCCGAGTACGACAGGAGAATGACGTCCTGGGATTTGCTTGAGAAGCATCTGTGGATGCAAGCCAGTATTTTGCTCGCTTTACTAGCTGCAGCATCACATTGCAGGCTCATGTTTATCTTGTGGTCAATGATGACCCCCAAGTCCTTTTCATCCGAAGTGCTAGCCAGTGTAGCACTGCCGAGCCTATAAGGATGCTGCAGGTTTTTCCTCCCAAAGTGGAGAACCTTGCATTTTTCGGTGTTAAATGCCATCAGGTTCTCGTCTGCCCATTTCTCGAGCCTGTCAAGGTCAGCCTGCATTGCCCTCCTGTCCTCAGGTGTGGATGCTTTACCCCAAAGTTTGGTGTCGTCTGCGAACTTGGCCAGCCCTCTTCTGATGCCAATGTCCACATCATTAATGAAGATGTTGAAGCATGTAGGCCCAAGGACAGAGCCTTGAGGAACCCCACAGGTCACAGGGCAAATGCCCATGGTCGTGTGTGAGAGAGAGTAATTCATGCTGAACACTCTTAGGTATGACCCAGATGGGAGGATCTTCTTCCTTTCTGGCTAAAACTAGTTTGGAGGACTCCTGCCAAATACTTCAGGTTCTAAGTTTCTTTTGCCCCACTAATTTTTGAATTTCAACATCCCTTTTCTGTCAGCCAGTTAAATCAATTGGATCGGGGATGGTGGGAGTATTCATAGAACCATAGAAGTAGGGTCGGAAGGGACCTTGTAGATCTTCAAGTCCGACCCGCTGCCTGGGCAGGAGGAAAATTGGGCTCAAATGACCCCAGCCAGGATGGCATCAAGTCTCTTCTTAAAGACCCCCAGGGTAGGAGCCAGCACCACTTCCCTTGGAAGTTGGTTCCAGATCCTAGCCGCCCTGACTGTGAAGTAGTTCCTACGGATGTCTAATCTAAACCTACTCTCCAACAACTTGTGGCTGTTATTCCTTGTTATCCCTGGGGGCGCTAGGGGAAACAAGGTCTCCCCCAAACCCTTCTGGTCCCTCCTAGTGAGTTTATAGACGGTCACCAGGTCCCCCCTCAGCCTTCTCTTGTGAAGGCTGAACAGGTTCAGGTCCCGTAGCCTCTCATTGTAGGGTCTGCCCTGCTGTCTGTATATTTTGAGATGGGAGATCTCCATCTCAGGCATGGTCCATTCAGGGCCAGATTTAGCTCCCACCTTTGCAGCAGCATCTGCCTGATTGTTGAAATCGAATTTGGGTCTACCTTTCTGATCTACTTTTCCCAGTCGAACTTGATTGCTATGCTACAAGGTGCCAGGCGAGTTGCAGTTTCAACAGGTGGGCAATAGGCTTACCATCTGACAATTTGAATCCTGAGAGACAGTCTATCAATGCATGAATGATCCAATCGCTATCTGAAAACATGACTACATCATGGTCAGGTAGTGTATTTTGTAATGCCACAGTGGTAGCAACAATCTCAGCTGAGTGTGCTCAGTGGGGTGAACAACTCCCACTTACAACCTTTTCCACACTTTGATTAGATGACACTCTTACTGCAGTGTAACCTGTATACGCTGTTCCATCAGTATGGTAGGATGACCCATCTACAAACCAGGTGATGACATTAGGATCCTGAGGAGGATAGGTTTCTCCTCCTGTATACCAGGCATTTTCTGGTTCAGGATTATCTATGGACACAGGAAATGGGCATTCATGATTATCACCATCTATACATAGCCCATATGGGGCCACTGCGGTGATTCCCACGACTTCAGTGTTAATGCCACAGTTTGGCAGCATAATGGTCCACTTTGCAACATGTGGAGAGGACGCTCCACTCTTTGGTTTTTCCAGATAGGTGTATGTGATGTTTTAAGTGTAATGGGCACCATGCTCAGGAGGTACCTCCAGTGATGTACCATCCACACAAGTGCCAGAATTTCTCGTTCTCATGAAGAAAATTCTTTTTCAACAGCTGTCAGGGTCCTGGAAGCATAGTCCACTGATCTCTTACGGCTGCCATGATCCTGTGAGAGACTAGCTCCAATAGAACAGTTAGTTGTTGCTAATTCAAGAATAAGGGGACTATTTACATGAGGCTATGACAAGGCTGGGGCCTTTGTGACAGCAGTTTTAAGCTATTTAATGTCCTCATAATTTTCAGGACCCCACTTCCAGGGCACTCCTTTCTTTAGGAGATGGTACAGGGGTGCTGCATTTTCTGCAAAGTTTTCAATAATCAACAATCATCAAACACATCCCCCATTTGGGTAACAAAACCGTGGCAATATACAGGGGAATTATTGAACCCCTGTGGTAGACATGTGAAAGCGTAGTGTCGTTTGTTAAAAGAAAAGGCAAATTTATACCAACAATTTTCTGCAAGTAGTATTGTGAAGAATGCATTCGCAGAATCCAGGACCAAGAACCACTGGGCACCACTGGAAATTGCAGCCATTACCTCTGAATATTTCACAACAATGGGTGCCAAAGGTGGAGTGTGGCAATTCAACACTCAATAATCCACAGTTAAGTGCCAGGTTATTCCATCTGCTTTCCTCACCAGCCAGATCAGTGAATTACAGGTGCTTCGAATCTCAATGATCACATTCTGTTCTAATAAAGCATTGATGGTGACTTTTGTACTGGACACGGCTTCATTGAGAAATTTATATTGGCACTGGAGTGGAGGGTCGGTTCCCTGAACCCTTACCTCCTGATCACTTCTCCGACAGAAGAGCTTTGACCTACCCCAGACCAATTGGAATTTACTGGCCATCTCAAGTATGTCTCCTTGCCATGCATGCAGGGACAACTCTTCACTTGCTTTTATCATAGCACAGTGGAGACAGGCAGGTACCTCTAGAATCTCTGCCTGTTGTGGCTTCAAACCTCCAATTCAAATTTCCCTATTGAGCAAGTCACTCACCATGCCAAACTTCTGCATGATGTCCATGCCCAATATTCCTATACCACCCAGTTTCAACAAGCCAAATTTAGACACTCCATTTTGGTTTCCAATTCAGAATGGCTTCAGGTTAGTGAACCCCACTGAACTTGCATTCCCATTGAAGCCTTCTAATCTTTTACAGGTCACAGGTGTCCAGTTTTTGAAGACCCTGCTCTCATTGCTAACCAATGTGAATGTGGCATCTGTGTCCAATAACATGTTTTGTCTTCTTTCACACCTCAGTGTTTCTTGTTGGTCCCCGAAAGTCACTGGGATCAATGACTGTCCCCAATCATCAAAATTTAATGGTGCCATGGTCACCTGGGGAGGCCTGAGAAACACTAGGCTGTCTCAGTGATCTGAGGCTGAGAAAACACTCCTTGGAGGCTCTGCCTCAACCTTTTCTACACTACTAGAATTATATCTAGCTTTCACAACCTTCTTCTCACAATGATCTGTAAGCCTCTTTAACATATCTTAACATATTCTCATATCGTAACAGTTCCTTCCACACAACGTACCTTAAGTTAGAAGGACGCTTCTATCAATCAAAATACCTTTTTCCCTCCTGGGAACCATCACAATTTCTCCTCGAATCAAGTTGTTTCTGACTCAGGTTATCCTTAACAAAACACACCCTCTAGTATCATTGCCACTCGCAGGACCGGAGTTGCCTCCGCTACTATTCTACTCATTGGGCTTAGGCTTTCATTTCCAATAGCTTTTCCCTTTACCCTGCTTCCCTTCAGAAGCCTTTGCGCTAACTACTGCAATCTTTCCTTTATGGGAAGGATCTTGCTCTGATTGATTCATTTCATGCCCCTCATGGGCTCAGCGAGCCAATTCCTCAAGTTCCAATTTGGCAGCTCCAACTCCCAGGTAGGTTTTCAGTTGCCTGGTTAGCCGTTGTAATAATGTTGGCTACAAAAGACCAACTCACAGGATCATCATACAATTCTAGTTTATTAGACGGGTGCAAAAGTCAGATCATAAACCTTGGGGCTGAAACCCTGACACA